TAGTATCTTAGACCTCTCACGATCCTCAACTGAGGGATCGTATGATACATATATATGAATAGTATATTATGATGTGTAGGTAGGAATGGTATGTTCTTCCATTCCGAGGGAGCATCGTATGTACGTMTGCTTCCCTCTTAGTACGTGCGTACGTATACTTTCGATACTGTACGTACGTATCCGTTGCATTGTCTCGTAGTAGTACAAGGTTAGAGTTCTATACTGTGTTGATTTTCTAACTGATTATTAGTCGTGATTTTGCAACCCATTTTTAGTAATCACCAGAAGCTAGCTTTGCTTCTTGCTTGCTGCTGCTACTACTAGCAAAGAACCAGCAATCAGAGTTCTAGAATTCATTAGTCAGAAAGGGTTTGCTTACTTTCCTCTTACTACCATACATGTGCATATTACTGTGTGAATTATGATGAGAACTTTTCTGTTGATTTCTCTGCACACTACTAAATTTGAGGAAAAAATCATTAAATCAAGTACCTCATTAAATCCAACCTGTTACACCCTTGGCAAAGACCCTTAACTTCTATTACCCACGCAAAGTGCATGCACAGCAGAATATTCATTATTCTAAGAGGAAGGTGATCTAGAAGTTGTGGATTAATTGACCAAGTGGTTTAGAAAAAATAGCACTATAACTACCAATAGTGAAAATGCCCCAAACTGCAAAACGGAGCTCCAGCACAGGCAGCAAAAAAAATCAACCAATTCAATATACCAGCCACATTGAGGGCCTCTTCATTAGATTAAATTTGCAGGGATCCAGAAGTTTTGACTGTGTGGTTTACAAGATTGTTCTAACAACAGCTACTACAGCAAAAAATCTAAAAAGAAAAGGACCAGCAGCTTTCTTGTAAGCAGCAAAACAACCATATCAACCCACTAACAAGGCCAGCTGCATGGAGCAGGGCCTCTTCATTATATTCAATTTGCAGGAATCCAGAAGTTTCAGATCTATCCACTGTGTGGTTTATGAGATCTTCCTATCAACAGCTGGTGTGCTGTTTTGTATGACAAAAACAGCAACAACAACAACACCAGCTCTATTCCCAACAGCAAACACAGTGATGCCAGCCATAGGATCTGGTTGAAATGGATGCACCCTTCTTCCTTGTTCAAGGACTCTATTTACTGCAAAGTGCTTATTTATCTCCAAGGAACAGAGAATTCCTTGTTCTGTAAATAAAGCAATGACAAGAGCTAAATTTTCAGTCAAGGAATGCAGGATCACTACACTGCAAAGAAGAGTACAAAGATACAGCCCTGCCAGCAAGAATATTGCCTGTGGTGCCAACTGCATGAACAAGAGCGGCTGTCAAATCACTCTTCTTGCAGGAAGCAATGTAGCTGGGTTCGCGCTTGTCCCATGCTTTCAGCTGAAGTCAACTGCAAAAGACACCAAAGACAAGCAAATTCATGCAGCTTTCATTGCCAGAGTCCTAAAAACAGAGGGTGTTGATGGTCACAATGGACCAGTTGAAAACTTTATAGTAACCATTAACTGCAATGAAGCAGCTGGAATGAATGCTTAACAAGTCTTGGAGTATGCTGAAGACAATGTAATGAAGCTATCTTCTGGATGCAACTGATACTCTAGGGAGGCATGTTCTTTTGATCCTTGATAGCTGGACAAAAGGCTTTTATCTTCTTCCTGGTGTGCCAAACACAATGCATGTCACACAGCCCACCAACAGAAACTACAGGTTGTTCAAATCCATGTACAGGCAGAATTTTCAAAAGCTGGCGTGTACTCTTGTAAAGTGGGGGGAAAGGTTCAAAAGACTGATTTCACACTAAAACTTGTGGTTAGCAAGGGAGGAACATAACAATCGGTATTGCTCTGTTCAGCTTGAGCGTGCATTTCACAATGCCTTTGTGGTTGGAAAGACAAAGACAGTCTCCGCCAAGATTGAGATCACACCATTTTCAGACAGTGCCTGGATGACCACCAGAAGGTTGCAAATGAACCAATTTTGCTGCCAGATGGCATTATTGATGTTGATGCACATCCCAAGACTGGATAGCAGTTGGAATGAAAACAAGTGAATGCTGACAAAGCAGTCCAGCAAGTACTCAAGGGTGCTGGGTTTAATAGAGAGATCTACTAAAGATATGCCCCAAGGCTAGTATCAGCATCTCTCACCTGTGACAAAGGCTAGGACCAGGGAATGGCAAGATGCAATTGCAAGTGTCAACTACTACAGAGAGCGCTGTATCAGAGCCAAACTTGATACAAGAAGCAGTGACAATTACTTCATTGCCAAAGAAAGGAAGAGGTGGCAACAGCTGGTTAAGGAGCTAGAAGGAGCAAAGAAGAAATCCAAAGCAAGGACCAAGTTCAATGCCAAGGCTACCAGGTTGATTGAGGAGTTGATGTCAACAAAGGGGATAGACATGTTGGGGTTGGGGTGATTCCAATGTAAATAGATCACCATTACATCAAAAGGTCATGCAATAATGAATAGTACAGGAACTGCTCAAATGCACCAGAATAGATCACAGTACTATAACCAAAAATACAATCAGCAAGCCAATGACCTTGTCCTAACAATCAAATAAACTGGACTGAAAAAGTTTAACAACAAGGAAACATTGACACTCCTACAAAGTAGTAGTAAATGAAACAAGAGAGTGGAAGACCAGTGATCTCTTTACAGTGTTACAATCAAAAAGCATATGGTACAATAACTCCAGGGTTGCTAATCATACAAAAAATTAATGGGCAGCCAAGGGGTGGTTTCACTTTATATTAGGAAAATTGTAGGCCCCAGTGCAAGGGTCCTTGCCTCCCCAGTAATGGTTGCTCTCCTGATTCAACAGATTAAATTATGGTACCAGTACTACAAATTTAACTAATTTTCTTCAAACTGGACAGTCAAGGCAACTGGGTTTTTCAAAGGTATCAACACAAACCATGTCAATGAAACAAGTAATGAACGGAAGTCAAACCACTTTGGTGTTTCTTGTACGTATCAAGTATCTGCATAATATATATCAGTGAGACTCTAACTTTAATGTGTTATTTCTAACAATGTATGGAGACGACCCTCATGAACGTTACGAAGGAAAGAATGAGTGGTAATTCCATTCAACAATAAGTGAAGTCATTCGCTATTGAACATCCATGGAATAGGTGTCTCTTCGTCATTATACTTATTCCAAACAGCAGCCCACAATGAAGCTCCTACCCAACAAATCCAATCGGCTCGATAAGGCGCGCACGAAGTTAGCGCGACACTCGAGGCCAAGGATCTGAGATTCGCCAAATCCAACGGAACACACCCGTAATCTTCACTGGGAAACTTCCCAAGGGATCTTTCTTCGTCGTTGTCGTTACATTGCAGGATATCTCGGACTTTCTTCATAACCTTTCGAGGCAAATCTGGCAGGACAAGAACGCCGTCTCCGCAAAAGACTACATTCGATACGACACTCATTCTTAGATCACGAGGACATTTCTGCAAACATGATAAAACTGCGGAAACCAAAGATGCCATTGATTCCTCGTTGATTTCGTTTCGTTTTTCGGATTGTAGCCAGTTTTTGTATCCACCGGGTGGAACCATCTGATATGTATAAGGAAGTACATATCCATCGGCATGACAGATACAATATGCTTCTTCTCGTGTAATGTTTACAGCTAAACCCCGTGTCCAACCTTGGACGATGGGTAGGACCTCAAGGGGGTCTATTTCCACCAGTGCAGGGACTCCTCGATTCCATAAATGTTGGCATAGTGCTTTTCGAAACGCTAGAGGCGTATAGCGCTGGTTGCTGTACATACAGACTACGCGTCGTGTGGATGGCTTGCACATAAGACGGTCATATACTTGTGCGATTAAGGGAGACAAAACTAAATACCATTCGGATTCTGTTTTCGTTCTGTTCTTCCGTTCGATCGATCGAGCTTCGTCCCCACTGCAATAGTCGCAGTCGAAAATCGGCCCTTCAAGGACAATTATATGTTGCGGTCTCGACTTTTCGCCAGCAAATCCAACCCGTAGTACAGTCGATGATATCTCCAAAACAATCGGTACGGGTTCGAATTTCGACGAAGTCAACGTCAATGAAGACAGACGACCGACACGGCTACTACTGGCAGTAGTGGTAGCCGTTGGTACTGGCATCGTCCTTTTCCGATCATCTGCCATTGCGATCTGCAATCTAACTCAGCGAAAAACACTTAAGACCGAAATGCGATCCTCTTTCAAGATTGCTTGGGATGCCTTTGTAGATAATGTTGTTCACTCGCAAATTACCGCTTTCTTCTATTACCGACTGACGACTGACAATGCTTTTCTCAATGCCTTGACGAATGAAGAGCACGGTGCGATGTTGTCTCAAAAAGGTTCAGACCCGTGCAAAATTTTTCCTTCTTCGTAACTCCGTCCCGGTTCCCCCCTTTTGGGGAAAAATGTTCAAAAAGTTTTTTTGTCTGAACTTGTGTACGTACTAGTTATGCACGTACATTGCAGGCAGGACATAGATCCTACAAATTACTACTTCGTAAAGGACAAGAGGTTCCATACAGTACATACAATGCGTGTCGGTACGGTATCGGAGCTTCCAAGTAAAGTTCCAGGTGAAAAAGGGTCCTACCGGTACACATTCTTGTCGAACAGACTGAGTGCTGACTGGTGAACAACAAGATTTAGCTGTCATGTCCACGAACTTGAACTATAAGCAAGTTGCCAATGTTTCGCGCCGAACATGGGATGTGGAGGCGTACGAGAAGCGAGCAAAAGACAGAGCCAAGAACACAGATGCAAATAGCAAGGAGAAACGCAAAGTTTTCGACTCTACGAGCAAACAGGTAGAAAGAGATGGAAATGTACAAGAAGAATTCGTTCCCGCTGCTGCTGGGGCGGCTGGTCCGCAACTATCGGAACGAGCTTTTCTAAAGGCACGAACTAGTAAGGTCAGCATCTTGGACGCCAAAATAGGATCAGTAGAGATCGTAAATCCTGAGGCAGTGGCAACAACAAAGTCTATGGTCGAAAATGGGGAATGCATAGATAAGGACTCCGCAGTGACGAAATCAGGAATTGGATGGCATTGCAAAGTCTGTGACTGTTTCCTAAAAGACTCTCTGGCATATCTGGACCATATCAATGGACGCAAACATCAACGAAACTTGGGTTATTCCATGAGAGTAGAACGATCCACTAAAGATCAAATTGTTTCTAGGTTAGCAGCCTTGGTCAAAGCGAAAGAAAGAAATAAAAATTCAGGATTAAAGAAGCCGATGGATGCCGAAGAAAAAGACTTCAACGAAATAGTGAATACGAAAGACGAGGAACTTCGTAGAAATATCGAGGAGAGAAAGCGGGCACGAAAAGAACGGAAGAAAAAGAAAAAGGAACGCCTCAAGGCAGAAGCTGAAATGTTGGGCCATAAATCTGAGGTATCAACCCCCGAAGATGAAACACTAGCAGTGGAAGAGAGAACTGGTGATGGAGTGGATCCGAACATTGCTATGATGATGGGATTCTCGGGATTTGGCGCGAGCAATAATATCCGGTAGCAAAATACTGCTTAGTACACGAGTCGACAGCGAGAGATTTGAAACTAGAATGAAAATAACAACCGTTCTGTACGATAGGCCACAGGATCCATACGAAATAAGTCATGTCAAGTGAGAACGACGAATATCCGTTGAATTTTCGATCTATTTGTTCTCTATAAATTGCACGACTTCACATTCAAAATTGGTTTCATCCGCTCTTGAATGCTAAATCCCATTGACCCAAAGGTCTTTTCACTCAACATTGTTACCAAAAGTTACGGCAATCGGTATGACTCGGACCAAAATTAAAATTATTTATTTGCATGACAAAACTGAAAGCTATAAATCCAAAAAGTTGATGTCGATTTGCAATGATGAATAGACAACTGCTTTATCATTACATTTTGCTGTTAACTAGATTCATCAATAGTCGTCTAAACCATATGGATCGAATGCATCCAAATCTTCATCGCCGAAAAGAATATCCATCTTATCTGATGAAGAATCCGATAAGAGTTTCCCAAGATTCTGTTCCTCATCATCATTCATTTCGTCTTCGTCACCGTACAATAAATCGAAGAGATCTCGTCGTTCTTCCMTCAGACGCGTAACGCTTCCATCCTTTTCTTTCTTCTTCTTCTTCTTGGTTTTCTTCTTCTCCTTTGATGCAATAGGTCCTTTGTCGCCAATCGAACTAACGACGCTGGGAGATTTTTCAGACGATGTCACTCCCTTTATTTTGCTCCGCTTGCCTCTCACATTCTTTACTGCTGTCATCGCTGTTACTTTGCTATTGCCATCGCTACTGTCATTGATGCCATCTTCGACTTTCACAGCTTTCTTCGTAATTGTTTTCTTACGCGTCACTCGTTTTCTTGTCGTTTTTCGCTTCGGGATGTCACCCGCCTTCATGGGTTTGACCTCTTCGATTCCCGGTGATTTTGTTCTCGTCGGTGATGGTTTCGAATGCGGCAATTTTTGTTTGGCTCGAGGTGAAGACACTTTTCTGGTTTGGGCAGATTTTTTTATGGAAGTCAAGGTCTTTTCTCTGTAACTTGAGTCTTGCCACTTGCGCTTCATAGCTTCTGAAATTTTTTTCCGGTGATTATCATCGTAGCTCATAGCATCCTTTCCCGACTTGCGCTTGGACATCTTATCCATCATCCCGTTACGAAATTCTGGATCTTGCCACTTTTTCTTCAATGAATCAGATATTTTTTTACGAACATCTTCACGATTTGTGAATGAATCTTTCATTTTCTTCTGAAATTGCTTGTCATTTTGCCACCGTTTCCTCAGAGACTGGGAAATTTTCTTGCGAGTTTCTTCCGAATGTGTGAAGCCTCTTCGTACTCTATTCGGATCTGGTTTTGCACGTTTTTTGACCTCTCCTTTCGCATGCTTTTCTTTCAGAATTCGTGAAATTTTTTTCTTTGTTTCTTCGGTGGGTCGATAGCCTCCGTTTGCAGTTCGACGAGATCTTCGCTCGGCTTCCTTTATTCTTCGTTCTTCTTTCTTCTTGGCTTCGTATTCTTCCTCGGTCATACCAATATCCTCCAACTTTTTAAGAAAGACTTGGCGATTCCTCGCCCGTACACCAGCAGCAATCCGTGCTCTTACCTCTGGAGATCTTGCTTTGCCCTTGTTCCACGGTGTCTTGCCTTTGTTTGCTGCAGAAATTTTTGCGCGACTTGCCTTCGTATGTGAGTAACCCCCGTTAGCGGTAGGATGGGGAAGGTCTGCATTGTCTTTCTCGGCGCTCTTCTCTTTCATCTTTCCTAGTAACGCCGTTTTGTCGTGGGTGGTCATGTCATTAGCTTTACCAGAGATATTTGTTGTTGCGGTGTTCGTAGATGGCTCGGCTGATTTCTCATCCATCGGCATGACCACTTGAATTTGAGAACTTGTGGATGACGCCTTCGATTGAGAAGACGTCGGCAAACTCGAGTTGGTTGGCTCTTTCGATAAAATTTGGTTCTGTTCTCTGCCTGTGACAACGTCGTCGTCTGTGACAACACTTTCAAACAGCATTGTCCCCTGAGATGCTACTACTTTCCTAGGACGTATGTTGCGTAAATCAGTGCCTTTGCCAGTGTTGAGACCCCTACGTGACCGGCAAATGTTGAATGCATCACTGCCAAACATAGCAGCCGATTGGTCTTGACACTGCCGTATTACAGTGTTCTGTTCCCGAATAACAAAAGCATCAATAAAATTTTTAAAGGACCCATTTTTACTACTAATGATGCAGAAAATAATTGACAGCACAATAAAATTGATCATTGTCATCTGTATGTTCGTCTTCTTGAAACATTCAAAACATCGATTCCTTCGCATCTTTGCTGCCGACGACGACAATGAATGTATTGCTGATGGCATGACAGCCCAGGGTAGGTTGCTTCAGTTGCGGTCGAATAAATATAGTATGCTTCGCTTCTCGATCCTATTACTACTGCTTTTTGCAGTACCGTAATAGTAACTGTTAGTAGTGGGTTACTGTTTCGGCTTTCGATTGCTTCAATTTTTTCATGGTCAGTTTGTTTGAATCAGATATCGTTCGCACGTTGCGATTCCGAAGAACTTCTTGCATCGATGATGTGTCTCGTGTGCGCTACCGCTAGTACACTCGTACCGGTACATACTCGTAGTTATCCAAAAAACATCTGACGATGAATGGAGGAGGTGATGAGAACAAAAGTATCCGCGCCAATCGCGCGAGTTGTTTTTGTGGAAAAAAATTCACGTGCAGTACTGGGCCGTTCGGAAGCGTGCGCATCCCCCCCTTTGAAATCCAAAATTTGGGGGCATGATTTCGTGGATTATTTTTATCAAACAACAGACAGCAATACCATCCAAGAAACATTTAATACTTGACTCTTGACTGTATGAGAGATGTGCATATATGAAGTTTGAAAATCAGTGAGTGATTAGCAGTGTTCCTGTGCATCGGGTCTTTAGCGTGCACTTTTTGCAGTTTTATGCAGTAAAAATGAGATGGAAAATGAATCATACTAGTAGTAGTAGTACTAGTTATGTCTCATATGTACGTACCATTTGTATGAACCATACCCACAATATGATATCCTATGGACATCAAATCATTTATGGGAAATTTTTCTTTATGGTACCATGGATGGAATATGAGTTTTTTCATCGGGTTGCAGAACCCTGAACTAAATTCAGACATTGCACTCCCCTTAAAGAAATTATGATCCCTAGTAGGAGTAAGTAGTAGGTACATACTTAGTAATCTACCAGTAAGATGTACAGTCCAGTACAATCCAAATTTCTGCTCAAAATAGTCTGTGATATAATTGTAGTCTTGTCTTCCTTCTGTGCTTTCAACACGGTCTCTTCTGTAGATCCATCACTCCAGGATCAAGCTGACTCTTTAGGGGGAGGGGATATTCCTAGCTTGCATGCACAAAAAAAGAGCTCTTCTTTCTTTGTAGGGATCTTCTTTTGCTGATCCCACTTGCACAATATCTTGAGTGCAGAAATTGGAAGGGACAACTTGAAACTATCATCCTTATTAGCATCGTTTCCTTTTGAAGCAGAATCCTCAATCAAAACAAGAGTTTGTTTGTTATGTTTCTGCAACTTTTGCAGCCTTCTTCTTTGCTTCAAAGTGCTTCATCTCATCTGATTGCCTGGTTCTTTGCGTGGCAATATAGGAGTCAGTGTGTCTCTGCCAGTGCTGATAAATTGCTGGCTCAAATATGTAACCCCTGCAATGGCATCTTATCAAGCTCTAGTGTTGGGTTTGGTCACTGACCCAATCAACTTTGCAATATTCCTTGGTAATTTCTTATGCATAACTTCAAGATTGAATCCTGCATCATTCAAGGCCTTCACTGTTGCATGATTTTTCTTCTCATTTGTGACCAGTTGTACTGTGTTTGGATCTGTTGTCAAATCAATTGAACTATCTCACAATACAATCAGTTTGTGGGCAACATTCTTGTCATGCCTAACAGCAACAGCAACAGCAACAGCAACAGCAACAGCAACAGCAACAGCAACAGCAACAGCAACAGCAACAGCAACAGCAACAGCAACAGCAAC